CATATGATAATAATATGATAATGAGGGGCGTATCCAGTCACCCGTGGAGAGACTATCGGTTCATCTAAACTTATAGTTTTCGCTCGTACCTTATATTGACACGACAGTAATCCATTGTTAAAGCTTTTATATGAAACCAAAGGAATCTTTTTTTATATTCTTTCTCTTCAGGTAATTAAGAACTTCTTTATCTTTAAAACGGAAGATTAAGACAAAAGAAGGTATTAACACCTGGTGATTGGCTCACCAACATCAAATAACAACATTAACGCTACAATCTCGACGAATCACCTCCTATTTTTATTTATTTTAATATCAGTGTTGTCTGAATCAATTTACAAGTATCTCATATTTTAATTTATTATTGACAACAATCGGATTAGCCAATCAGTCTTACATGAGTAAAAGGTTCAAAAATGAATTTTGGAAATCGTATTCCATTAAATAAAATCCATGCATCTCTGCACCTTGAATTTATTAAACACTGCCCAGTGCCCACCCTCTCCTGATGAAATTGGAGAATCACTTTTAAGATAATGCCCATAAGAATTTCCCTTATTGATTTCAAGATATCCACCTTCTTGGGCAAAATCCAACACGGAATTTCTTCTTCTTCTTCTTATCTTATATTGTCGACATTGAGGTCACCACTCTAATCAAGAATTAAATGAGACCTTACCCTCACCCACACCCACTCCTGATAAAACATTATTTGTACTCGGCGTTTATACCAAACCATACTAGTATACGATAATTACGTAATAAATTGAGGTGAGACTATCTATTAATAAACTATAATTTGCAGGGGTGGAGACAAAGCGTGGGACCATGTATTTGTCTTAAGAAATCAATTGAATATATACACATTATTAATTAAAATGATTACAATCTCGAACTCATATAGTTCAAATCCTTGTTTCGCCTTTAATCATTTGGTGATAACTATTATGAAGACATGTGTCATGTATTTATTGGTTGGTGTAAACACTATATGCGCATAAGTTTTTACTCCTCACCAAGTCCTAAGTTTTTCTCTTGACAAGTTAATGTTGCAATCTAGACTTTCACTAAAAGAAACATTATTAACTAAAGTTGCTAAATATAAGGAGAAACAAAAGATTGATCGAGGAAGACTCCTGTTAGGATCGGAAACGCGGGTGGTGCGAAATTTAGTCAAATAACGGTATAATGACAATAACAAAGATAATTGAAGTTGATAACAACGGTAATTAAAATAGATAAAGAAGACACAAATTTAACGTGGTTCGGTCAAAGTGACATACGTCCACAAGGAGAGAGGAGCAATTTACTATAACAATAAGAGTACAAAAGAGAGTACAAAATTAGAGTAAATACTCTAATTAATCCCAAATACCCTAAGAGAATAACCTCACAAGATCACTCCAAAGAAAGGGTTCACACAAGTGCTTCCCAACACTAACTCTCATACAAAACACTCTTAATAAAGGAAGAAAGGAAGAAACAAGAATTGAAGACAAGTCTTGTTGGTGTGTCTAAAATGAACTAATAGCCTTCCCTTTTATAGGCAAAAAGTCTTGGCCTCTTAGGTGTAAAAGAAGAGATATAACTTGTGCAAATAATATCCAACACACAATGCAATATTTTTGGGTCCTAAAAAATATTGCCAACAAAGTCTACACTTTACAAAGATGCTTATTCTTATGTGAGATGGACTTCATTAGCCAAAATATTGACCACAATTACAAATCTCCACATTGGCCTAATTTTGGCTGATATAGTAAATTTTCTCCACCTTCTCCGCAAAAGCCCCAATGGGCATATGTCAAAATTCAATGCGATCAAAATCAGACAAGTTGTCTGATACCGAAACTGTAGTAAGGCCTATAACAGTGGATCCCAATAAAGTATACAACGAACCAGATCTGTGTGTTTTTATGATCACAAGAGCACCCTGAGAAACTTTCAAAACTCCACCTTCACCTATGTACTTGCACCCAAGAGATTCTAGAGTGTCCAAAGAAATGAGATTTTTCTTCAAGTCAGGAATATGTCTAACATCAGTGAGAATTCTCACCACACCATCGTGCATTTTGATTCGGACTGTACCTTTTCCAAAAACTTTGCAGGCAACATTGTTGCCCATCAAGACAACTCCACCTCCAATAGATTCATATGTGGTAAATAAATACCGATTGTGACACATATGATAAGAACAACCCGAATCTAAAATCCACTCATTGTTAGATTTGAAACTATTATTAGTTGCTAAAAAAAATAGTTCCCTCAGTCTCATCAGCAGCTACACTTGCTTCGGCAATGTGAGTATTTTTGTGCTCATTTTTCCTTTTCTTATGCTTTTCTTTATTTTTCAGCTTATAGCATTCGAAGATATTGTGACCTTTCTTATGACAATAGCGACACTCTAAATTATTGTATCTGGATATGGAGTCGAATTTTTCCCTAACAAACAAGCCAACTTCCGCTTGAGTTCCACTAGCTTCCCCAATAATATCACTATCTATCTGTTCTTTTGATTTTAATATAGATTTAATATCCTTATAAGAGATATTATCCTTTGCATAAAGCATAGTATCTCTTATATGCTTAAAAGATGGGGGTAGAGAACAAAGCAGTAACACGACTTGATCCTCATCTTTAATTTCAGCATCTATATTACTCAAATCCATAAGAATTAAATCAAAGGTATCAAGATGAGAGAGAATAGAGGTACCTTCATCCATACGAATTGTATAAAGCTTCTGTTTTAGGTAAAGTCTATTTTCTACCGTCCTCTTCGTATATGAGGTTTTCAATTTTCCCCGCATGCCTTTAGCTGTGGTTTCTACAGAAACTGCACGTAAAACCTCATTTGAGAGATTTAAAATGATACCTGCTTTTGACTTTTTGTCTATGATGGCAAACTCCTCATCCGTCATTTTATCCGGCTTCTTTTCTTTTCCTTGCAACGCCAAGTCTAAGTCATCCTGAATTAGGATAGCTTCCATCTTTAATTGCCACATTCCGAAGTTTGTACTTTGGTCAAATTTCTCAACATAGGTCTTTGTTAGAGTCATTTTGGCTATTGAAACTAACCCGGTTAGATCCGACTCTGATACCAATTTGTTAGGATCGGGAACCCGGGTGGTGCGGAATTTAGCCAAATAATGGTATAATGACAATAACAAAGACAATTGAAGTTGATAACAACGGTAATTAAAGTAGATAAAGAAGACACAAATTTAACGTGGTTCGGTCAAAGTGACCTACGTCCACAAGCGGAGAGGAGCAATTTACTATAACAATAAGAGTACAAAAGAGAGTACAAAATTAGAGTAAACACTCTAATTAATCCCAAATACCCTAAGAGAATAACCTCATAAGATCACTCCAAAGAAAGGGTTCACACAAGTGCTTCCCAACACTAACTCTCATACAAAACACTCTTAATAAAGGAAGAAAGGAAGAAACAAGAATTGAAGACAAGTCTTGTTGATGTGTCTAAAATGAACTAATAGCCTTCCCTTTTATAGGCAAAAAGGCCTTGGCCTCTTAGGTGTAAAAGAAGATATACAACTTGTGCAAATGATGTCCAACACACAATGTAATATTTTTGGGTCCCAAAGAATATTGCCAACAAAGTCTACACTTTACAAAGATGCTTATGCTTATGTGAGATGGACTACATTAGTGAAAATATTGGCCATAATTACAACTCCTTTAGTAGTATGCTAGTGAAATATAAATTTGAAAAATAAGGAAGACAAGAGAAAGGTAAGAGGCTACTGTATTAAAAGACCAAGATAGTCTAAAAACTCCAACAACATCCAATAAAAATTACTAAGTTAACAGTAAAAGATGAATATATAGAAAGCACAGACGACACAATGGTCCAGTTATGCATGCTATCGTTTTGGTCGGCAAGCGCCCATAACAGAGGTCCAGAGCACATCAATAAAATCAACAATTGCAGCAATGCAGACTGACCTACAGCCTACAGATTCCCATTTACCATATCGCAATTATGACTTTTTTGTGATTTACAAATTACTACTATGATGATTACTTCACTAAAAACATGTTTCATATGCTTGGACTAAGGCCCCTTCCTTTTTTCTCTTTTTGCTTTTAGATATGCTAGGATGCGCGCGGTCGTATGATAATTATAATCGATCCAGAGGTTTAGCGTTCGAACTTTGTGAATAATAAAAAATTGGTAGAGAGCTTTTTGCCATCTTTAGCTATCCGATGTGAATACATATTATTAATGTTGCAGCCAAACGCACACGTAAATATAAGCGATCATCAAGTAATAAAGTGATTAGAAATTGGATGTCGAACACACGACAACTTATTATCAACTATTGACTTAATTGGACTATCCTAATTATCTAAACAAGAATTAAACGTAGAAGTATTTCACTCTAACTAATTATAAAATAAAGAAAAAACAAAAAAAGTGAACTCTGCACAAAGGAAGAGCAATTTTTTTTTTATGTTATCAATGTGATGAAAACGATCTAGGGTTATGTATTATCTAACAATCCTATTGTATTCTTCAATTGAATTGACTACTTAATTTATCTGATTTATTGGTTGACATGGCTAATATTGCTCATAAGAATCTATCGAGTTCTTACTCGACTATTCAAGCTAACCTAACGCCTATAAGTCTATGGAGTTAGAACCAACAAGAATGTATTTATAATTCCTATATAATAATCAAGCAAGGCAATTAGCATATGTATATCCTAACCGCAAATTCATTCCCCGATGCCCAGGTTCAAGAACTTGCTCTACTCAATCGTATATGCAATCTAGAGTTTTTACTTTCTAGTTCAACTCTAGATTCGTAAATAGTATTCAATTGGTGATCAAACAATCAAATAATTAACTGCAAGATTGAATAAATAAATCAATATGATAAATCAAAAAATCAAAATTAATATTTGAATAACAATAGTCATATGAAGTTTAGATCCATATAAACATGGTAGTCAAACAACAATCATCCAAATAAATACAAAATTACTAAGTTTGGCGGAAGAGAGTCGGATGAACTCTGGCCTCCATGACGGCTCCTTTCTAAAAAAACGAGTTCAAGAACTATTATATAAGTCCAGGGTCGAAGTATCCAAGTCCAAAATTAACAAAAAAATAATTTCCACTCGGACATGGGCACCTTGCAAAGCCTGGTCTAAGGCCAGGAAATAACCTGGCAAGGCCTGGTCTGCCGAGGTGATGGACCTCGTTAGGCGAGCTGGGACGCAAGATCGACCTCGCAATCTGGCCAAGTGGTGCGAGGTTTGGGCCTGGTCCCTTCCGTGCCTTGCAGTGATTTTTCTATCGTGTTTTTTCCTTGTATTTTCAATAACATTGTGTGCAAGTTTCATTTCAGTTCGTGATCATATGGTCCTACATGTAAAATCAACTCAATTAAGCTCAAATATCACATAACATTAAAATACTAAAATGTAAGGTAAGTAATATACTAAAATATATAATTATAGCCAAATATCACCTAAAATTCTATATAATCTCAGTCCATGGTCTCCATACTATGCGCTGAATCAAAAGAGCACAGCAGAAATGGATTCTATACACTAGAAACTAGTAATTAATTTGAGAAACAGCAAAAATTTCCCAACAGTACTTTAGATAATTCGATGCAGTATAGTACCAGCATACTTCTACATATGGGTACCATAGATTGTACTACCAAAGAGTAAAAACATAATACAAGACCCTAAAATATACATCAACCGAGTATTAAGGGCCAGAGGGAGGACACTAAGAACAAATTCAGGAAGTAACATGTCTTATTATACACCATGCAGCAAGCAATCAGCGTTTTCTGGGTGAACCCTGGGCAAGGCATACCAAAAACGCACTGAGGCGTACTACTAGCCAAGCAATTTGCCTCAAGATTCCGTCCGTTCACCTAGGTGTAAGTCCCAACATTCTGGGCGTTCATTTGGGACGTAAGCCCGAGAACTTCTTAAAATTTGAGCCAAAATTATTTAATAAATCTTTTTTTAACATAAATATCTAAAAGTTAACACATAGTAAATTTTACAACTAAAAGTCTCAAAAGCCAAAGGTCTTTTCTAATCGTTTATTATAATTTTATAATATTTTCACTTTGTCGTTTACTATTGAGTAACAAATACCCTTTAGACAAAGTGCAAACTAAAAGTAAAGAATTTTGTCCTCCAATTCTTAATCTACTTCTATGCTTGCATTTTTCTTTTTTTTGGTATTCTTTAAATTATTATTTTCAAATTAGTTTTCTATTTTAGAATTTCTTTTGGTAACGATCTAGTTTAGATATTATTTTGATGACTCTATTCTAGCTATTTGTATTATACATGAGTATTTGTAATTTATTATTTAGTTTTAAGTTTTTAAACAATAACTTTATTTTATTGTCACTGGAATATTATTTTTATAACTCTAAGTTTGTTCTGTCATAGTCATGTTACAAGTGTATTTCATTTATATATCTTTCGCTTTTCAAGAAAAAAATTATATTCTTTTGTATGGTTCATGCTCATGCTAGCATGTTTATATACACACACACATATTTCTACTAATTTTATAATTTTCTTGAATTCTTTTACAATTTTAATGTATGTTTATTTATATATTTATTTATTAATTTATAAAAATATTAAAAATTAAATACTCACAGGGCTTACACCTAGCACCCCAAGGCTTTTGCCTCGCTCCATGTTAGTTAGATAAAACGCCTCGCCTCTCGACCACTCCTGTTAAAACTCTGGAAAGCATTAACATTGAATCTATTACATAGCAGTACACCAATTGTTTACATTTACACCTTATATGAAGATTGTAGACAATTCATTAACATCTACTAACATCTAATGTTCTGCTTTGGAGTTGCAGAAGTCAAATACATAGCCACCAATGATAATTTGGTGCAGAACACAACAGTGTCCCCATCGTCCCCTGCCTTCCCCAAAATTAAAGAGTTGGTGCCACTAAATTGACTCAATCGTCATAGTCTTAAAAGTGTTGGTTCCACTAAATTGACTCAATTGTCATAGTTGCAGTATCAGTTACTGGGGATGTACATACATTAGACAGAAGACTGACAGAAGTAAGATAGCAACATGCATACAATTTGAAGAGTCACCTGAGGTTATGTATTACATCTTTCCATACTCGGCCTTTATTTTCTGATACTTCTAAAAGGTCAGCTTCCAACGTAATGAAGATCTTCCAAGTTACCTAAATAAGAAAAAGAACACCATCTCGATTAATTTTTTGATAACATCATCTCCATTAATACAACTTACCAGGAGATCTATTCTACCGAAAGAATTCATGGTTTACTTACTGTCAAATGAAAATATATGCTGATACTTAATAGTATCCAGTCAATAATTTCGCTTCAAGCAAGCCAATACAGCTATTAGGTAATTACCCTCCAAGGGCACATAACCAGATGAAAGTAACCTTGAAATAGAAGGATCAAGGCCTTCTCACATGCATATGGCAGATTTCAAAACCCCAAGCCAACCAAAACAAAAGGAACATAGAGTTCAGTCATTATATAAAGGCTGAGAAGCAACAACCATAACTTCTGCCTTCACACACATACTGTCCTGTGCAATTCTTTGCTATGATATAGTACAACCCTGCGCCTAGCTCGTGACTCCTGCACACACATATACATGTCCTTTGCTTTATTAATCATATTAATCTAAAAGATGAGTGTCTCTCATGTGTTGAATGCAGCCCATCTAGAACAGTATTAGCATAATCAGTCATCATTATAATGTAATGATTACATATATGTCCAAAGAATGAGTGTTTATGATGTTTGAAATGCAGCCCATCTAGAATAGTGTAAGCAGAATCAGTCATCATTATAATATAATATTTACATGTGTCCACTTCACTGAAGAAGAAATTCTCCAAAATGCTAAAAGAGGAGAAGAAAATATCGCATAAAACAGTATTAGCCATACCTGCAGTTTATCGAAAAGTGATTGGTCCTTGGGCAGTCAGATACATTTTTAAGCCAAATAGCTAATATTCTCCACATACAGCAGAAATTACCAAGCTATATCAGAGACTGCAGAGGGAAATTCTATGGATTCATCCAACTTTTACGAAGTTTTTTGCTCTTTGTGATACCGACAACTGATACTACAGCTAGCGTGCTGGCAGTATATAACTTTAGTTCCCTCGCAGCCATGTCTTTGGAATCTTCAAATGCAGCTTTCAGTATCAAAGAAGTCAGTGGAAGTACACATATAATGGTTGTGAATGAGACTAAAGAATAGTTTTTTTGAGAAAGAACTAAAGAATAGTAGAATGAATGAGTCTCTCTTCTTTAAGTGACTGTAAAAGAGAGAGGTAGTCGACATCCACGAGGACTAACCAAGAGCAGATGCGCCTAGCTAAACATATAGAAGAAGCTAAAGAGCTGGAACAGCAAAAAAGAACAGAGTAGGAGAGCAGCTTTAAGTTGCTAGCTAGAATCGAGAATTGACTAAAAAGCAGGACAATCAAGCAACGGTCAAAAGGAACCATGCAAGGATAAACTAAACTTGCCAAGCAATTTGCTCAAAAAACTCAGCTCGGCAGCCAAGTTCAAGTATAGCTCGTTATTAACGAGTTATAAACTAGAGCTTGCTTTTGAGCTTGATGGTAAGCGAGCTTGAATAAGCAAGACCCGCATTGTAGACTTTTTAACAGCTATTCTTTATTTCTAGATCTAAAATATAAAAATGAGAGCTAGGGTTTCAGGTACCTGATGTACTTGACAAGTGCAATTACACAAGTTTTTATTCTCTTCCCACACGGCTTCCTTCCCAATCTATAGCAGAATCCTAAAGCCTTTCCAATCAACAGCATTATCATTCTTGTTATCTTTCATTTTATCCCTCACGCTTCCCCTTCCATTTGGAGTCATCCATCACAAATCTTATGCTGCTGCAGTGCTGCTTTGCCCTCCGCTCACAATACTGCATTCAGCTTTTAAAGCCCCTAGTTGACGGTGATAACAATAATATCAGCCAC